CTTCTCCAAAGGGATGCAATGAGAAGACATGTAGCTAAAAAGAACTGGGGCCTCTGGTTAAATCAGACAGCTTCAGTAGGAGTCACTGGAGCTACTCCAACCCAGAAAAGAACAATAACAAAAATACTATAAAATCATAGTAAAAACAGCCAATAGCTTAACATTATGGTTCTTATCATTTGAAATCTTTCAATTATGTTCTCTCATAACCACCATCATTGTGAATATCAAATGTAAGGTCCTACTAGTTCAATTAAATCTCAGCACATATTTTTCCCTGTCAGATATGTGCTAAACCCTTTGCTAAGTATACAACCATGAGTAATTTATGGTTTCTTTCTTAAGAAACTCACATGCAGATAAACAAACACATAAAAGAAGTAATGTTCAATATGATTACTGCTATAGGGAGGGCATATTCAAAGTGCTACATGAGAGTAGAAGATGGAACAACTCAAGTAATTCTAAATGGAAAGCTGAAAAGGAGGTGACATGTGAGCTGGGCCTTCAAGGATGAATAGAAGTTCGTCAGAGAGTAAGTACAGAGAAGTTCAGTTCTGGGCTGTGGGGCATAAGTCGTTCCAATCCTGACTCTTCCACTTCTCAACCGCATAACTTGATGTCTCACCAATGGGTTTCAGCCCTGGGAAAATTCGCTATGGATTCAGTGTGACCAAAGAAATGACAGTAGAACGTTTCTTTGGAGTGAAGGGGTTTATTACCCGGCTTGTTCTCCTGGTGGCAGGTGGAGCACTAGCATCTCTGCTTCCACCCAGAGCACTGGGCTGAGCTCTCTATATAGTGTAATAATAGCTAATTGCCTAAAGGTGTGAAAGCGGTAGCCTAGCAACAGGCCAGTTACATCATCAGGTGGTTTAAGTTCAGTGAGGATCCTGGCCATGGGAACCCCAACTTCCCCACACTTGGCTAGTTACTTACCTTTTGATGCCTCAGTGTCCTCTTCTCTACAATTGGTATGATATTACTGGAGCTTACCCCAAGGGTTATCATGAGCAAAAATGAGTTAAGGCATGTATAATACTCAGAACAGATCCTATCATGTGGTTAATCATAAAAAGTAGTAGCCATAGTTCAACCATTGTGGAAAGCAGTATGGAGGTTCCTCAAAAAACTCAAAATAGAAATACCATTTGACCCAAGAATTCCACTGCTAGGAATTTACCCTAAGAATGCAGCAGCCCAGTTTGAAAAAGACATATGCACCCCTATGTTTATGTGGATCCTTAGCTCACATTGGGGTAGAGCTGAGCCTCCTCCAGTCATTCTTTTTGCTTGTTTGTGTAACCCCTATGTTTATTTACAATAGCCAAGAAATGGAAACAACCTAAGTGTCCATCAGTAGATGAATGGATAAAGAAGATGTGGTACATATACACAATGAAATATTATTCAGCCATCAGAAGAAAACAAATCCTACCATTTGCAACAACATGGATGGAGCTAGAGGGTATTATGCTCAGTGAAATAAGCCAGGCAGAGAAACACAAGTATCAAATGATTTCACTCATCTGTGGAGTATAAGAACAAAGAAAAAACTGAAAGAACAAAACAGCAGCAGATTCACAGAACCCAAGAATGACTAACAGTTACCAAAGGGAAAGGGACTGGGGAGGATGGATGGGAAGGGAGGGATATGGGGGAAAAGGGTCATTATGATTAGCATACATAATGTAGGTGGGGGGGACACGGGGAAGGCAATATAACAGAGAAGACAAGTAGTGACTCTATAGCATCTTACTGTGCAGATAGACAGTGAGTGTAATGGAGTATGTGGTGGGGACTTGATAATAGGGGGAGTCTAGTAACTATAATGTTGCTCATGTAATTGTACATTAATGATACCAAAAAAAAGTTGTAGTCATTATTATTGTTATTATTGCTCTTCACTAAGTCAACAAGCAGGAAAGAGATTCCTGGAACACTTAGAGACCTTGTCTCTGATTTTAAGACATTTACAAGATTATTGTTATTATTGATAACAATAAAGCTAAAATAGACACTTTATATATGTAACTTGACTTAATTCTAGTAACCATCCTGAGAATCAAAAAATTTATGCTGAAATATCAGTAACACCACAAAGAATACCAAGTACATGAAACATAAGTGGTGTGTAGAGTGGTTGAAAGAGAATTATACAAAGAGGGATATTTATAACCTGAAGTAAAAGGCAAAAGTCAGAGGGATTACAAAATGGTGGGTTTAAGCCAAATGCAATCCTCAGCATAGTTTCTGTTTTGACTTTTTTAGTTTTGTTTCTTTCCATGCTCATTGCCTACATGCAGGGCATGCCCTTTCCAATTTGCTCCAGTTCCTACCACTCATCTCGTACCCAACTGTGAAAACATTTGGGTGTTGAAGTTTGTGACATGTGGTCAAAGATCTAGCACTTGATTGGCAACTACCACATTTGCTGAGCTATGTTTTCATGCCAGGCACTGCATTAAATACTTTGAGACATGTGATCCATATACCATCCTGATCAAAGTATTATTATCCCCAACTTATGGATAAAAACTGAGTCTGAGACAGGTTAAATCTTTAAATTAGAGTCACCAAAGAAGAGAAGTACATGGCATGTTCTGAGACTCGTTTGACAGGAAGAAAGGATTTCTACAGGGGAGCGGTATGAGTTCAGGTGGAAGAGGTTGGATGAACTTGATGGCCAGGCTTAGGAATTTGAATATGGCTACAGGAAGCTAACAAATAATAGGTTTCCTTTTCTTCTTTATAGCTTTATGAAAACTCACCCACAGCAAACATTTACGCTGCCACAAGGATTGCTCTAAAGCAGGAGAGATGCTATGAAGGGCTGAAGATGTTCACTTCTCTTTGCAGAATGCCCCACTATAGGCAGGGACAGCCCTTCACCTCTCATGACATTAGAGAAGAGGGACCTTCCAATAAACATTCCAGTTAAGTTTTCTTCATATATGCCATATAATTTTTAAGAAAATGTCCACCCACTTTCCCTCCCTGGATTCTAATCCTTGAAATCTAGTATTTAAGTCTTACACTACAAAATGCCCTCAAAATCAAGAATAAATTCCATAACCTTTGATTCTAAGAAGTTTCTTCATGATGTTGCTCCTATTTACCTCTCCACCCTCATCTCACCCCACTCCCACAATGCAACCCAGCCATATCAATCCTATTGCTGTTCCCAGAAACCACCAAATTTTCTCCAAAAACCTTCACCAGACCACACACCACCCCCCAACCTCCACAATGCCTTGCACTTACTTCTCAGGTACAGCTTTGCCCAGAGAATGTGTTTCGTCTACATCAGACAATAAACTCCATGACGATTGGGGCCCTTGTTCTCTACTGATTGCCTACATCCAACATATCCCAAAACAATAATTTGTCAAATGAATGAGTAAATGATTAAGTGAGAGAATAAGTGTTCTGATCCCTGGCTCCTTACTCATTGTCAGACCCTGGTCTTCAACTTGCCAGTGGGTTTTCCCTAATTATCTGCCTGACCCTAGACCCCACCACCAACTTGATCAGGTTTATCAGGTTTCCACATCTCTCCCTAGAGCTAACATATTCCCACCCCATTTACAATCTGACACATGCACACACTCACCACCATTCAAAACAGCAAAACTTGTCTTCTCTCTCCTTTCTGGCAGTCATATTTTGCCAAAAACCACTGTTATAGTGTGCCAGAGTTCTGCTGCTCTTATGCATGAAATATTCCTGGGCCTCACAGTTCCCACCTTCCTCTTAAATCCAGCAATTATGTTTGAATGGACTTGACTAGAAAGAGAGACAGGGAAGGGAACCCAAGTGTGTGTGTGTGCCTGGAGTATGTGTGTATATTGTGACATACCAACTCACATTTGGGTGATGGTCTGGCTGACTCTCCTGGAATGAGTAGCCTGGGAAGAGCATGGATATCTGACTACTTACTGAAAACGGGTGAGCCCTAGATTGGTAGTTCCAGCTGTAGGTGCTCAGGAGGAGTTCTGCCCAGCAGACCAAACCCGGTTGTCCAGTACTAGCAATAATTATTTAAGCAGTCTAATTGCTAACACCTGTGAGCACTCCCTGGGTTCCAATCACTGTCTAAATAATTTACATAGAAAATAATGTTTTAATTATTTCTTACATCAACCCTATAAGGAAGAAGCTCTTATTCCTCTTATTTTATGACTGAGAAAACTCAGGCACTGAGAAGCAAAGTAGCTTGCCCAAGATCACACAGGAAATGAGGGGGCCAGGACTGGAACCCAAGCATTCCAACATCAGAACTCCATCTACTATAGAAGGGTCCAAAGCAAGTACCTGTTGGTTACTGAGAGTTAGAATGTGGGAGCAACACAAAAAATAGCACAATTTGTTTTTATAGTATAACTCTCACAACTGGGGGAAAATAGAAGTATCATTTGATCTCAAGGAATATGCAGTGGATAAAGAGGATAGCTAAGTGTCTCCCAACATGTTGCCTTTCTCAGAATGTCTGTAAATTTGTAACTATATTCCATTATACATACAGTGAGATCCAGAGAGCACAGGGCTGACACATATAGTTTTGCATGTGGAGGGTGCTCTCTGAAATTGTACAGTATACAGACCACTCAGTTTGATATGATGGATACAAAAGGCAGCCTTCTTTAAACTCATGGAAATCAAATCCTATTAATGGGGCATGAGCTAGTGTGGCCTTCAAAAACTAGATAAAAGAAAATGTGGAAATGATAAACTAGCTGCCACAGTACCACGGGAAGTAGATGCCTCTATGCAGCCTTCTCTACCATCATACCTTCTCAGTCAACTATTCGAATACCACTTAACTTGCTGCTGTTCCCCTGACACACATCCTCCCATACTCCACAGACTGCATAAATGCTTCACCTTCCTCCTCCACCTCTCTGCCATCTTTCCTTACTTATGTGTCTTCCTTCATGGCCTAGACATTCATCCATCCGTCACTCATCTATTCATTCAACAGATGGTTTGGGGGCACCTACCATATCCCTGGTCCTGAAGCAGATGTAGGTGACAGAGATGAGTAAGGCGTTCCTCACCTTCAGGTTGCTCACAGTCTAGAGGGGAAATTAAACAAAGTGAGTCTTCTCCAGGAAGTTTTATAATCATTCTCTTTTCTCCCCAGCTAGAGAAATTCTCATGTTTTGAAATTTTATGGCACATATCTTATGGGTTAAATAACAATTTGAACACTTAAAGCAAAACAAACACACTGTAGAAAAACATAGAAAATATTTTGATGGCTATAAATCATTAAGTTCATATGTCTGTATCTCTAGTGGGTTCATTTTGTGAGGAGGCAATAAAATGCTAAGTTAAAGCCCAGTTTCTCCAGATACTTGTCAAATTCTTAACATTGCATCCTAATGTGTTTCCAGGATTCAGCGAGTCTGTGCTGTGCTCATAAAAGTTCAATTGAGCAAAAGAAACTTACAAATTATTCTAACCTGGAAATAATTTCTTTTTTTTTGCTAAATGTGTGAGGTTTGAGCCAGACAGCTATACATGGTGCAAAAATAATTTCATCTTCAAAGACATAAAATAACAATTATCTTATGGGAATCATAGCATGTGAAAGACCTTTTAAAAAATCCTCTGCTATGAATATGAAGTCCCAGTTGATTATGTGTGTTCCATTTGAGACATGAAGTCTTTATCTTCATAAACAGTAAGTTCTTTTAGAGCAGGAGCTGTGGGTTAATTTTTCTAGCCTAAACACCCAGCACAGGGCCCAGTGAGTATTTGTGAATATGTTATGCTACTCATCAAAGTGGAAGTCTATGCCATTCTCTGATGGATTGTCATATTCTCTAATATTCTAGAGAAAGGGGCATTAGACTTTGTTTTGGATTTTTACTTTGGGGGGAGGTGGGGCAGGCTGAAGGCGAATGGCCTGTTTGACTTTGTTTTGTTTTGTTTTACTTTGTTTTTGAGATATGTCATAATCCAGTAGAGACCTTGATGAAATCAATGGCCTTGTCCCTCAAGATACTTCAGATACTGACCCACTGATCATCCCACTTGATGGGTAGAGCCATTAGATGACCTATCTTTTTCTTTGGGATCAGCACTTAAGAAAATAATTTTTTCCAGCTTTAGTATCCTTATTTGAAGTTTTTCACTTCAGGAGTTGTAACCAACCCATTCTATTGCTATAGACCTCATATCTCTTCCAAAGCCTATGTAAAAGCCTTAGGGAGCTACTTACAAACAAGAAGTGGCTGAAGAAGCTATGCTTGGTCTGAAAAACAGAATGTACATGTCATCTTACCTTTAGTGGGATGAGGTGTTTGATGTCATGACCCTCTTCCTGTGCAACTTGACATTGGCATTTGGTTTGACTTGGTGATAAATGTAACAAAGCTATGAATAATTACCTTCCAGAGCATTTCTTAAGGGAGTTTGGTTGCTTTATAGGAAATTTGTATTGCTCAGCATTCATGAAATTCCCTTTCAGTACAATACTGAGATGGTGCAAGGCAAAATAAACACATTTCATCTGGACCATATTTAGAAGTCACAGTAAAAAGGAGTAAAAAGATAAGTCGATTAAATAAGGAAATGTTTATTTTATTTTACTTTCTCCTCTTTCCTTTAATAACTTCTCAACATAATGGCATTCATATACATTTTCAGAGGATTTTCATTTTATTATATATTGAATTATATAGTGTCAGCAAACTCACTAGAATTCTCAATCCCAGCTCTTAAAATTTGGCCATAAAGATTCAGAAAGAAACCAAGAAATTAAGGAGAAGACAGTGGCTGCAGCTGCAGGGTCTTTATTATGTTTATTCACATCATAAACCTCTTGGTTTGCCAATCCAAAACGGTTTGAAGTTGCATAGGGTGGAGACTGCCTTCGGGTGTCTGTCTGGAAGAAGAGCTGTAGTGGCCATGCTCTGGGTTCCCTTCTCTAGCCCAATCCCAGGTCCTCTTCCTTCACCCTCCATCCACTCCCTGACGCTGGTGGGGTCAGCTGTATCAACTACTCCAGTGTTCTGGTAATAACACAGCGACAAAGGGGCCCTGAGTGATCTGAAACCGATGCCTCAATTTTAAAATTAGGCATTTCGTGGTAAAAGGAAACCATTTCTTTTTAAAAAAGAAGTTGTCATCAAAGACTTATGTTGATACTCAAGAGCTATATTTTTTAATTCCCACTTGTGCTTTGTTGTTGTTTTCCTATCTTTTGATCCATCGTGAGGAATTAATGTGGTTCTTCTTCAAAACAGATGAAGAACTATCAGTTCTCAAAGTCGTAGTGAGATGCCTCCTATGAACCAGCTTGTCCTGAAAGTCAAAAACGCTCACAGATATAGAGTTGAAGTTGGGTGGATCTTTATTCTCATTTTGTTTTCCTGATCTAGTATCCCCCTGTAAAACATGTTACAGTAAGATATCCATCTTTACAAACTAAGTAAACTGTTAGGCAGTACATGAAAGAAGTCAGGTGTGCTTGGGCTCTGTCCTCCAGAATTACATACAAGTGGTCTTTAAATCATCTTCTTCCTGTTGAGTATGGATAATAACTCTTTCATTTTCTTCACTCATTTACTTAATCCCATACGTTCATTCAAAGCATTTATTAAGAACCAGTTGTTTGACAGGACATGAAAAAAATAGAGAAAGTGGAGATTCTTGCTATTGAGCTGAGGAGACAATATCCACATGCATGAGACAATTAAATTCTAAGACTTGTTTAAAGTGTGAGAAATTTAGTTGTAATAATAATAGATATTTATATAGCATTTATTATGTGCCTGAAACTCTTATGTATTTTACATATGTTAACACATATATTAATGCTCAAAATAATTTTGCCAAGTAGCTGCTCTTATGATCCTGTTTTACACATGGTAAAACTGAGACATTGAGAGGTTAGCTAGCTAGCTGCTAGTAAATAGCAAAGCCAGGATTTAAATCCAGGTAGTCTGGCTCCATAGTCCAAGCTCTTTGGCTGCTGCCTACATAAATATACATACATTTTATGTATGTAGAATTAAAATGTTGCAGCCTGCAGTCACTCAGGGAAGCTGCCAGGGGAAGGTACAGTTCTTGAACAGAATGTTGATGATGGCCTGAGGTTTAGCCTGTGAAGAGAGTGGAATTGAATGTACAGGAAGGAAAGCTGGAGTTTGGAAATGAATATGGTATGATAGAATGACTGTCTTGCAAAATGGTGTGAGAAAACTTTCATATACGGCCTTGAGCACCAGGCTTAGAAGTTTGAAGAGAAATCTATAGGCAAGTACAAAAGCAAAGAATTGGCTCATTTCATGCATTCATATAATTACTGTACTGGATGGACCTCGGAAAGAATCAATTCCAACTCCTCCTTTTATAATTGTGTAATCTAAAGATCCTGAGGGCTGACATGACTCCAAGTGTCACTTCCCTAGTAAATGAGCTGGAACACAGCATAGCTGTACTCATTGTTTAATGCCATTTCCAATGTTTCAGGTCACTCTGGAAGGTTCGCCTGGCAGAGGCATTTGGTTCAGTTTAGAAGGGACAGACAGAGGCAGGGTGACCTGTGAGGCATTATTGCCTGGGCTCAGTGGAGATGATAAGTTTTCTGTGAACGTGACTGGATATCACTAATGAGGGAAAGGAGAAGAGCCAGGGCCTCCAAGTTGCTGTTGCTTTGATGGAAATAAGTATATGGGACAAAGATGCTACTTGAGCAGAGACATCATCAGTTCAGGTTTAGTACCCATGAGAGTGAGGTGACTTATTATGCATAACGTCCATGTGGTACATTCTGTAGCATGGCGATCAGGTTCCAAAGCCCTCTGCAAGTCTTTCATTAAGTAGCTGCCACCATCATCAGTGTGTGAGCAAGTCTTTGACAAGACACTGAGATGAAATTCAAATTGATATCCATTGTGTCTGCCATCCTGGTCTTCTGCTTCGTGGTTTCTCCTGGTGCCAGTCAGCCTGTGTGCTCACGTCCCTCAGATGCCGAACCATGTGGTGGTAAAGGGCGTGAGCTCTGAAGGCAAATGTGTGCTGGAATCCTGCTTTCAGCTCTTTACTTAACATGATGGGAAAGTTGCTTAACTTCTTTGTGACCCAGTTTCCTCTTCCATAAAATGATACTATGATCAGTATTTACCTTCTAGCAATAATGTGAGCATTAAATAAATTAATACATGCGAAGCACTTAGAAAAGAGTGTATATGCATCAAACAATGGACGGTAGCTATGGTTGTTGCTATTCCATGGTTCCATTCTGCTCCATTGTGGTTCAGGGTGTTTTTTCTCTGTGACAGCCTGAAGAGATGGAATTCTTCCTCCCCACCAGACACCTCATTCCCTGTGGCTGCCCTTTGAACCTTAGCACGTTTTGTTCATCACAGGAAACTCCCTCTGATTCTCCAGCAAAGGTCACCCTAGGCCCCCTGGCTCCTCACCACTTCTAAGTCCCTCCCAGGAAACCACCTTCACCCTCACACATAAACACACAACCCAAGTTTGCTCATGGGGTAGGGGAAGGGGTGGGGGATTGACTCCTTTTGCCATTTTCATGTAATTTCACAACATAACATTGTGATTAGGCCATATAGCTTTTACCTAAGAACACTCAGATTATGCAGATCCCTTTGTTCTGAAGTTCATGTAGCTAAATGTTCAAAAGTAAATTCTTTGCTCCTGAAGCAGGGCTGACAGGGATTAAAAGCAAATGACAGGTGGACCTGGATTCAAATCCAGTCCCCACATTTACTAGTGATGTGATTTTGGATCATGTAACACCTCTTAGTCTTGGTCTCCTCACTTATAAAATAGGAGTATTAGTGCCTATCTTGCTTGTTGTAAGGATTAAAGGTTATAAATCTTTGGAAAGATAGTACCTGGCACACAGTTTGTGCTCAGTAAACTCTGACTCTCACTATTATTGTTATTGCTGCCATGACTCCAACATCCTCCAAGCTGTAACAGGGGTGTATGCATTTCCATATAACTAAGGAGGTGACTATAAAGCTATACCTAATTATGAATACACCCTAATTATGAATTATGAATGTTTGAGGACATAAAGATTCTTAAACAAGGTGAGATCTTGTTGTTGGCTTAATAACTCAACCAACTTATTGCTGGTGGTGGATGACAGGTGATGTCCAGCATTAGAAGCCATCAGAGCAAATGGCAGGCAAACCATAATCTCATTGTTTTCATTTCATCTTGAGTGTCATACAGCTGTTGGTTTTATCTGCTGCTAAATTTTAAAAGTAGAGTGAGGTGAGTTCTCTAGAAATACAGATGAGGTGGCAATGACAACCCCCAAATCTCTATGGGACTGTGCAAATGACACCAGAGTCATGACTGCCCCATCCGTGAAGGTAATCTTGAGGCTCTTCTGACCAATTTTAACTGCAGTGGCATTTGCATTCCTCCTCCTTGGGTCCAGCAGAAAAAGGCAAGGCTTAGGTTTTCTGCAAGATGCAAAGTAACACCCCTGGTCCCCAAGGAACAAAGGCTGTTTGGGTCAGAATTCCAGCAGATGATTTTTCATACATATTATCCTTCTTTTCAGTGTGTTCTCTGGCATGCCTATTGTCCATATTACTCTGCTGTTTCACATGTTCTCTTCTAGTTTGGTTTTAGACATTTTAAAAGATGATTTTTCATTAAATCCTAACAAAACTAAGCACAGGGAGAAGTTTCAAATAAGAAAGTGTTCTACAGGTCTCTATTATGTAATAAAAATTATAAATTATAAATACAGGGGAAGAAAAACTGCCTTCTGCTGAAATACCTTCCAGGATCTACGGGAGTAGGACCCAAACAGGGGTTCTAGTTCTCCCATTTCCTGTACATCAGATTTTAGTGGAGAGCCTTAGATCTCCTAAAGCTACCACTGTCCTATCCTGCCCTCACCTCCATGCTGGTATGCCACTGTCTGTGCTTGTCAAGCCTCTCAATTGAAAGAGTTCTGGCTAATCCAAGCTGCAAGGAAGTCAATGGAAGGACACAAAGAAGCTTACTGACTCTATGGGAAGGTCAGAGAACCAGACTCAGGAGCGAGATAGGAAACAAAGAAAGCTCACAGCCCAATTCTCATGTCATATAAACAGCTTGGCCTGGCACTGCCAACTCTAGAGACTATGTGCCATGGCTGGTGCAGTTGCCACTGAACAGTGGTTGTCATCAACACTGAAACCAACCTTGAACTGTCCAGGCTTCTCTGTGTTACTCCAATATTAAGCCCCCAGTGGGAACACCCAGTTGGCCTCCCAGCAAACACTGGAAGGGATTCAGACAATGGGCAGCCAAAGAATGATACTCACTTTTCCTTCCATCCTTCTTTACCTTCTCCCATTCTACCTTAAATTTAGTATAAACCTCCTTTTTTTTTCTCTAAAAACTCTTTTTGAATACTTCTGGTATTATTATTCCCCTTTCACAGATGGGAAAGCCTCGTGTCTTATTTCAGGCTGATATAACAAAAAGCCATGGATTCGGTGGCTTAAACAACGAGCATTTATTCTGGAGGTTGGGAAGTCCAAGATCAAGGCACCAGAGAGGGCGCCGCTTTGTCTAGTGTGGGCCCACTTCCTGGTTTGCAAATGACCGCTTTCTTGCTGTATCTTCACAAGGCAGAGATTTCTGCTCTCTTCCTCTATAAGGGCGCTAATCCCATCATGGGGGCTCCACCCTCATGACCTCATCTAATCCCAATTACCTCCCAACGGGCCCACCTCCAAATGCCATTACATTAGGGATTAGCAGCACTTCAAGTATGTTTTGGGTTTTTTGCTTGTTTTGGATTTTAGGAGGACACCAATATTCAGTGCCTAGCCACATGTCCGAGAGGTTAAGTGTAGAAGGTCATATAAAGTATCACTTCTGGATTTTTGCTCATGTATGGGTTTTAAACCACCGATTTTGTTTTGTTTTTTATTGTTGGTTTTAAATTTTTTGTTTCTGTTTTGCTTAGCCAATGGAACCTTGACAATTTTTCAAATGAAACCACATAAGAACCCTCAATATCCAAGGCAGAGGAAAGCAGAGCTGTTCAGATGGAGAGTAAGGAGGAGCAGAACCCCATCCACTCAGTCTTACACCCCTCACTTCAAACACACAAAACACCACTGTGGTTTGAAAACTGCTATTACTTCATTCAGTAAGAGAGGTCAGTCATTCCCATTCCCAGTGTATTTCCTGTCACTGTCCCTCTAGCCCCAGGCTCGGGGACAGGAAATAGCTGGGTTTAAATAGAGAATTAACTATTTATACCCAAATTTATCCATGGCCGGGGCCCAGCATTTCTCAAACCATGTTCCATAGAAGCTCAGTCATCAAGAATATTAATAATTGATAAGTCAAAAAAATGCAAAATACTTTATTGATGTTGAATTTCTCATGTGGAAACAATTGGTTTATAAAAATTAAAAAATGTTTCTTATCTATAAGAAATGACTTTCAGAGAGTATTATGATACTCCAAAGAAGAGGTATAGTGTCTAGAATTTTCCAAACATTTGACTCTCAGAGACCTATTTTTCAAGTTGCATTTCTCAGGGCTAGTCTCTTGGGTCCTGTCTATTCTTCTTCTTCTTCTTTTTTTTTTTTTTTGTCTTTAAATGCTTGCTAGCCATTTGGCTGTTATTGGAAGCAAAATACTCTCTCACAAGCATTTATTCTCTCACAGTTTTGGAGGCTGTGTTCTTGTTCTTACCCAGACATTTTCTTACAAGGACTTGTAAATTTGTAAGGATTATAAATCCCAGAAGAACTGCTAAAATCACCCAAGAAAGGTGGACCCTTGTGGGCCCACTGTGTCTGAAGGACTTGATTTATGCAGCAGCATTTACATTGTAAGATAAGCATATAGACAGTGTGGTTCAGAAGCGCTCTGAAAAATCTTAGACTTGTATATTTTCAAAATAATAACAGTAATTATAATTCTCTAATTAAAAGAGGTCTATAAAGTTTAATTACAAAGGTCAGAGAGAGGTAAAGGAAAATTTGCTTACAGACTCATCTTTTAAAATGGTGATTATTTATTTGCCCCTCAGGCAAAATGGAGCTGTCTCCGAAGGTCTGATCCAAATATAGGAAGGGACCAAAATTCTGGAGAAGAAGTGATTTAGCTGGTTGGAAGTCATCAAGCTGCCCAGGGCAATGTATTCCAGGTGGACAAATGTGACTCACCATTTTACTCGGTTTCATTGCTGGCTCTGCCATACAGCCATGTGATCTGCGGCAAACACAGTGACCTCCTTGAGCTCCAGTGTCATCCTGTGTGACGTGGGGATGACTGCAACTCAGATGGGAAGATTAAGTCAGATAATGTCTGAAAAGTACTCAGATTACAGTACATACTTGATAAATGTTAGCTATTACTATTACTATTTTTAAAACATGGCAAGTGGGCTTTTGGACATTATTGTCACTTTTATTCTAACATAGATCCTGTGTCTTAGCCAAATTAATCTTCTTGTTCTCAGTGTAACAACATGAAGCAGCCAATCGCTGTGCCATTCCCCATGTTGCGTCTCACTAGGCAGTAAGTCACTCTTTGCCAATCCATAGCTCTCATTTTACCATTCCTTTACTATTTTTCCAATTGCATACATTACTCTACAATATTACTGGAAACTGTTAACATATTATGATATAATGCTAAGTTAAAAAAAAAGCAAGGTACAAAATTGTATATTTATGACTTCAATTTTGTAAAAAACTAATTAAAAAATACATATACACACAATCAGTCCATGCTTTGTACAAGCTTGATATACATGAATCTCAGTTACCATGGGTTAGTTAAATAATAGCAGTCTCTCAACAATACAGTTTAAGTTTGTTACCCCAATATATTAACTCTGAGTTACTGCATAAAGCAAAAATTCATTGCTAGCAATTCAGTCCATCACTGTGTTAATGACAGATGCATACCATGATCAATAACCAATCACATCACTTCTTTCCAAGTCTGTTCATCACTGGTCACTGCACATTTATTATTCAGTTCACCACAGACTGCAAAGGGTATGACTGTGTTGCCCCCTTGTCTCTGAGTAATATATCCACATGGCATTTGAAAGGGGAATTTGGTCAACAATGATGAGAGTACAGCAAAGAAATGAAAAGTGGTAACAGCAAAGTGAAATTTGAATCCATGTAAATGGAGTTAGAGAAGTAGTAGCTGATTTTGGGAGGCTGACATTACCACTGTTAGAGAGATTAGATGGAGAGCTGAGGAACTTGGGGAAGCAAAGCTGACAAACGAGATAAGTCTTTGGGAGGGAAAAGGGGGAAACGTCCCAGAGGAAGTGATGCTAGCAAAAAAAACACCACTTTACTTTAAAGGAACTCTCAGATATTTTGCATCATTGAAATGCAAAAGTTAAAATATTGGAAGCTGACCTAGACTTAGAAAAGAATATGACAATTTGCCAACGTATAGAAAAAATGATTGCTCTGTATAATAACTTATACAGTGAAAAATAGACAAGCAGTACTCAAACTACTTCTGTGTTTTATAAAGAAATAAAACACTTTAATTCTCAATGTTTCTAATATTTTTAATTAGATATTAACTTTCCTATCTTCTATTTCCCTGTACATTTATAACCAACAGTAAGAGAGTTGTTAATGCTTTGACCAAAAATTTTAAAGGTCACAGAACAATTGGATTTCCCCCAATGATTATTAAAATGACTTTGCATGATTTTGCCTCGCATGGTCACTTGTACAATCACACACTGTCATGCAGAATGACAACTACCTGTACCTTTATCTCTTTTGAAAAAAATGACTAGATGAAAATACACCAAAAAAGTAGCATAGGTGTTAGAATTATAACTGCTTTTAACTATCTTCTCCAAAATTTTCATTACTTTCAAATTGTTCTACAGTTAGGACATACTACTTTTATAACCAGAGAAGAAATTGTTATCAACAAAAAAACTTGTTTTAAAATTTGGTTCCTTGGGAGTGTAAGACACCCTTGACTGACTCCCTGTGTTCTTGGCTCAGGGCTCCTCAACCAAAATACAATTAAGATGCTTTGTTGCTAATATGTAGTTTTATAAAGGTATTTGTGTTATTATCTGTGATTTTTTTTTAATCTCAGAGAGATTAAATTTTTTTGTGTACAGAGACTGTATATCAGTTGTTATTCCTCCCCTCCCATGGATACCTGAACAGTGTTCTGTATATATAATAGGTGCTCAATAAATATTTCTAATCCATCTCTCAAAACCTGTCAGCAGTTTCTGGGGAAAATTATCCAAAAAGCACTAAGGAACACACTAGATGATATTTGAACATATTTTAACAAGCTTCATACAAAATTATTTAGGGTTTCTACTTATTTAATAAAAATTTTTTCCACTTCACACAACACAGTAGCTGAGAGTCTAGAGGGCTTTAAATCAAGATATTACATTTTTGGTTTCCATAGTAACTATGATTCAGCTTCAGAATCTTGACACATTTCTTTGGATTACAGGAGTAAATTTCTTAATCTATGTATACATAGAAAAGCAAAGTTATGATTGTAGAAACCACAATTTCTGTTTCTTAAATGTTCATTAAAAATTAACTAAGTATCTTACAAATGATTTTTTTAAATGTATGACCTCTTCTAAAAGTACATGATGTGCAATGAAAGACAAAATCTGTGCATTCCTGATTGTGACACCTGATTTTTTTTTATGTGTTTACTCTCCAAGTCAGCTCAGACTCAGGCATGGGAGCTGAGGGATGTAGGCAGAGATGGCAGGTGTAAAATGCCATTTTTGTCACTCAGTTTAGTATACAGAGCATTCTGTAGTTTTTATCTAACCCATCTTATTTTTCATGATATCCTAATAAATTGCATTCTATTTCATTGCCTTCAGCTGAGGGGGACATAACTGAGGCTTGTGTCACCATGCCTGTGCCTCCAGAGGGAGGTGAATAGGGCAGAGCAGAGAACTCTATGATGCTGCCAGTCAACAGCTCCAGATTCTACGTTCTGACAAAGAGAAGGGTTTTTGTAGTGTAGCTTCAACCCAGCTAAAGAAAGACTCTCTTCCTTTTGAGACCTTGTCATTCACCTTTCCCTGAAAAATGTGAACAAACGAAAACCAGGACAAATAAATTCTGATTTTGAAATATATCTAGAATCTTTAATTCCCTCATACCTATTTAAAAATGTCTTTTTAAATAGACATTCCTCTCCTTACAGGCTTATTGAATTGTACTTGTCATGACTGGGAAATAGATGACTGTTTGCAGAACTGTGTCAGCACCCTCTAACAACTGGCTGCTACACATAAACTTAGGTGCCTGTCAATGGTCTTTCTTCAGCTCCCTGCCCTCAGCCTTTGGGAGGCCATAGTCAGCACACGGATGTGCCAGAGCCAGTGAACTCCTGCTTTCCAATGGCAAAGCCAGTTGATTCTGTCTGCCCTCCTAGAGCTTGTGGATTTCATTCCCAAAGAGAATAATCTAATTAAACCTTGACTTCCACTTCTGGATACCAGAAGACTTGTTAGATATTTTAAGTACAAAATTAAAGATGACACTTTGAAATATGTTTAATAAAAATTTATAAAGTCCAGCTCTCTGCTTCTACAAAATTTCCCTTCCTCCTTCCCAAGAACAGAATCACCATACTTCTGAACCAAAGATAGGGCCAAATGGCCTGGCATACACAGATGAGCTTTGGTGGACAGTGAGACAGGCTGTGTGAAATGAGACTACCAGAGCAAATTGCTGATGGAAACTAGATGAACTCAGGGCATTTCTTCTACCTCTTCCAGAGATTCACTAAGAACAGGAAGTGAGTACATGTTTTCACTCTTCTACTTTCACCCTCTATTACCCTTGGAAATGGGAAATAGTGAGAAGGGTCCCTGTCAATTACAAGTGGCAGGACTTTGTCCAGAGCTGTTAAACAGAACCAAAATTGAGTGTTTTGAATTTTCATTCATTCCTTTGGAGAAGGCACTGGCAGGGAAAGTGCTGCCAGCACTGTGCAGAAGAGAGAGAACCATCCACTGGTCGGTTAACTTTGGCTAAGCCAGCCTCTGCAGGAGAGCAAGGGAGCCCTGAATTGTGTTGGAAACTGGCAGCAGACATTTGTGGGTATTTTTGCAGTCTTGGCATCACTAGCCCCATTTTATCCCTGGTGTCCATGTGGACGAGTAAACCAGGGTTCTTGGAATAGGCAGACTAGGTAGGTGCTTATAAAATAGGATTTGAGAGTTTCTGAAAGACCTGTCTTGTGAAAGCTACATCAGTCCCCTCATTCTGAGAGCCCCAAGTTCCACCTTTTAGAGTTCCAGTTTTGGGCATTATTGCCAGAAGATCCTCATGGACTCGTATTTGTGGAAAACAGATATTTTTAGCTCCTGTTCTCTAGATTAGATTGTAAAACATTTTGACTTTCTCCTAACAGAGACTGTCCCCAGTATAGGATACTCTGGAATAATGGAACGTGAGACTGATAAATATTTTTGATTAGGAAGAATGAGAACAAAACATGCTTCCAGGGTGAACAGAACTATAAAAGTGTCTTTAACAGTGTGAAGATTCACCCCTGGAGTGAAGTGTTGGAGAGAAAAAGAGTATTTAGAGAGGAGAACATAGAATGACTCCCAATAGCATCAAATCCAGGTCACCTGCCAAATCAAATGCAAGAGGAGAACCTTCTGTTTTATAGAAAAGGCAATTAATCAGGGTAAACTGAAGATATTATAGATCATTACATGCTATAGAATAGAAAGCACTAGCTTTTTAATAGAAAGGCTCATTAAAATTTTTCAATAAATGGCTTCCTTTCCATAAAGTCTCAGACAATAATAAATAGGTCTTCACCATTTTGATTTTAATGCTAAAATATTGCCAATAATTAAGTAATGGTATTTGAATTTGAATGTGAATGGAATATAAGTCCCACAATCCTGAATTTAGAATTCTCTTATAGCATTTGTATGGTTTTATATGCATTTTCATTTGTACTTGTGAAAAATGCTTTACTTCTACTGGTGGTGAAATCATAACTACCCACTGTTCTCTGTAGCTGTGAAATATTGTAAGTCTTGCTGTTTGCAGATCTAATGTTTTCACTGATGTTCCTCTTTTGCCCTTTGGATTAAAAAGCAACGCCAGTGAGCAACAAGGCCTGGGACTGAGTGCTGCGCATTAGTTTCATGTCTTCTTTTGTCCCAGTAGACTTCACATCAGACTCAACTATGAAGCTTTTTTAAATTGTGGAATTTCCAGTGGGAGAGCCCAGTGTGTATGTGTTCATGTATGTGTGTG